CAGAAGACGTTCGAGACACACGACACAGTCGTGAGCAAAACTTCGTATTCGACAAGTGGCTTATTTTTATCCCTCGTCAGTCAATCGTAAATACAGACAGGGATATCCTACTGACGAACAACTTGCTATCCGCAGGTCAGACCGTCTCCGTTTTCTGCTAGAAAATGTTCGAGACTCACGACACAGTCGTGGGCAAAACTTCGTATTCCACAGGTGACTTACACTTATCCCTCGTCAGTGAACCAGTAAATACAGACAGGGATATTCTTACTTACTAACAAACATTTTTCGTCTCCCTGGGCTCGCCGTAAACAACTCCACAAGACCATGAAACTCGCTTCAAACATTCTTCGTTTCTCCTGGCTAGATGCCCATAGCAATCCGGTAAAATTTCCAGCAGCCAATTCAATGCCTCACCAAAAACTCTGAGACGACCGAACATTATTTCTAACTATGAACCTGAATACAAAAATACCACACACACTTACAACGCCAAAAAAAAAAATCCACAGTGAGTACTCCTTTCTATCTGTGCGCACATACATCTCGTGTTTAACGAGTTCCTTTTTCCAGAACCTTGTAAAACTCTTTTTCCCGCCTTGTTCATCTTGCATTCCTATTTTGGCGCGGAACTCTTCTCTGATCTCGTACCACGAGATAATCTACTTGTTTCCATCTAATTAAAGTTACACATGTTTTACAAACAGACGTCTTTGTCATTTTATTCCGGCTATCTCTTTGATGTTTATTAATTTATGCACTTGTTGATTGACCCCTTTCCTCTCACTGTTCATTCACGCATTATTATTTTTTTATACATTGCTTGTGGACTCGGTAGTTTAGTGTGGTGTCTGGCACAAGGCCACTTTGTAATAAACCAGCACTGCACCCTACCGGGCCTGCAACAATATTCTTCCGCCATTACGGGCATTTTTTTTACTGATTAACCGCGGAGTACTTCCGGGTATTTTCGTTGGCGTAAGCATAAATTTTGGTTTGGCCTATTTACTTCTTTTACAGAATTTTGTCTCAGGAATCATTACGCATTACCGTAAAGCAATATATATTTTTTTTGATAAGTTTAATTTTATTTATAACATAAAACTTTAAACAAAAATAAATTAAATAATACAATAGAACCTTTTTCCGTGTAGAATAGTAATGATAAATTAAAAGAACAAATTAAATAATATAATAAATCATATTTTAAATTAAAACAAAGAAAAATAAAATTAATAATGAAGTTTGAAAAGAGCATGATTATTTACAAAATAAAACAAATTGCTCCTTTCTAGGATTTTTTAATTTGGTAGATAATCATGCTCTATACAAAGTTCGCGCGCATGATTATCTACAAAATAAAATTACAAAATAAAAATAATGCTAGAAACGAAATAATAATGAGAAAAAAAGGACGGATATAAGAACGCCTTTCTTCACCGGATTTATTTAATTAATACGGATAATAGAAATCCTTTCAAGATTTATTATTGTCGGGCATAATCTTATCAAAGATGAGCAGATGACATTGTGTCAATGGAAGACTCAGAAAAAGAAGCTGGAAGAGCTTAAAGAAATCAACAAGAATGAACTAACCATTAACTGTAAGACAGAGTTTCGTTCATTGGGGGAAGACAAAGATCTTTGATAGTAGTAGCACACCAAAGCTGTTACTTCAAGCTGGAAGCGTCTGACAAAATGACAAGACAGGAAGCCATTTTATTCACTCAACAGCATTTTGATCTTTAAAAAGAACCGCGAGTTCAAAAGAACCGCGAATTATACATTCAAGGACGAAGAAACTCTTGCTTCCTCTAACATTATTATTACTAAACAGACAGGTCTTACGTCTACATCACATTGAAACACCGGATCCCGTACGAACGTTAAGGCTGGTCAATATCTAGATAGGTGATCGCTTGAGAATACCAGGTGCTGTAAGCTTGGATTTGCGAGTGGTGTAATGGCTCAGAATTGTTAACTGAAGAGCCGAGTTCCAATTCCAGTTGTTTTCGTTATATTCACTTACGCGCTAATAATCTTGAGAAAGCTATAAATTCACTTCTTCTCCCTTCAGCTATGGGTTAATTAGTAAGACCTGTATCACTAAACCATTATTATCTCAAAAAATAAAATTACGCACAAAGAATATTTATATTTCAGCATTAAATTGTAGCGACTGCTATGCTTTTCCACGTCCACAATTTATTCGTCTGTGATTGGCTAGTAAACCATTACTGCTTTTCTATAAGACAATTTACCAATCGCAGTCAGCACTTTGAATTTTTCGGTCGTGAACTTGCTCACATGTTTCTTTAATACAAAATCAGTAATTGGTCAAATTTTAATTTAACCAATCAACATTTTAATACTAAATCAGTTTTTCCCGCGTTTTCGCTCGGAGCCTACCGGTACCTTTAAAATTTTGCCACAAGCCGCCAGTAGAGTTCAGCTATTTCGCCTGTCCACACAAATCTACGACTTTACTCACAACATTTCAAACGCACACACAGACACAGATTTTTGTAACACATTATACATATCTCTCTCTGTGACCCAGCCAAGTTCATGAACCAGAACTCTATTAATTTCTCTAAACAACACATTTATTCTATTCTAACAGCAAACTCTATTCAAAATAGAATCCTGAACATTCTTATTCAAGAGAAACTCTTTCGAACATTCAATCAGAATACAGTTGAAGGGGAACAACTTTTTTCTCCTTAATCATTACACTTCATTGCATGATTGTTTTGTATGTTATATTTCAATATATATTTATTTGTTGATCCACATATGGAGTTTCATTGTTGTTTTTTAATAGTTAAATGTACAATAGATATATGCTCTAAGAACACGCATCACAAAATAACACATAGAGATTGATATGCTGCTAAATAAAAACAACCGAAATACACAGACATTATGCATGTTTGTCAGAAAAAGAGGGAATTCAAAATGTGACGTTCATATTGGAAGCGTCAAAATCAAGGAAGTACTTTTTACTGAGTAGTGTAGTAAGAAATGACAGAAAATGCAACACAGAAATCCACATAGAAATAGTGAAAGATGTCTGATGGAAACTAAGCAAAGTATCAAGAGGTAGAAAAATGTTCTTAGAAACAAAAAAAAGTGTGTTTATCTTCTATGTAATATCTAATCTCCTCCATAGCAGTGAATGCTGAAAAATCTCCTCACAGATGAAGAAAAGGCTTAAAACAACAGGGTTCCAAGTTCTAACGAATGCTGTGAATATCAGGGAGAGAACATGTGAGTAATGAGGAAGCCGTAAGAAAAATAGAGAGACTAATACTTACACTTAAAAAGTAACAATGGAAACTGCTAGAAAACAATGAGGAAAGAAAACCTGGAGAATTTAATACATACAGGACATATTGAAGGAAAGAGAAGCGCAAAGAAACGGCAAATGACCAATTTAATGAGTTTGAGTGAATAGATGGGAGACAATGGCTAAGACGGGTGGTAAAAAACTAAAAGTGAATTAGTGAAAGTTAAACTGGTGTGGCCATTATATCTTTTAGGACAAAAATCGTAGTAATCCTGCTCGTAGAAATTTGGGACATAACTGGTACTCTGGAAGAGGTCTAAAACCTGTTGATTAAATAAGGGTTCAGTTCAGAATTGCCTGTAGGTTATCCAGATCAATATATATCCGAGGAAGGCCGGAGGTTACAACGACCGAAATGTCGTGATTGCAGCAAAGATGAGGACAAGAGTACAAATATAAATAGTACAAATTTATACTAACTCCTCATCCCGGAAATTCGTACAGAAAGTAAAAGTTACTTAGAGAAACAAAAGAGAAGAAGGTCGTGGGGAGCCATAATCGCTCTATACCTTTTCAACTTCAAAATGATAATAATCAACTTCAAAATGGACTTATTTTCAAGCAAAATGGATTAATCAACTTCAAAATGGAACAATCAACTTCAAAATGGATCAATCAACTTCAAATTGGAACAATCAACTTCAAAATGGATTAATCAACTTCAAATTGAGAAAATGTCAAAAACCTAAAAACAATCAACTTCAAAATGAGAATAAACAACTTCAAATTTTTTTTTTGCTAAATTGAAATATTGGATGTATTAGTAATAATGGATTAATTTATCATAAAATTAAAAGAGGTTCTTTCAAAAAAGAGGATGCGAAAGAATGGACCAGGGAGTGCCTTAGAAAGATAAATGAAATTTGTGAAAGGGGAGTTGTCTTAGTTATTGATAATGCTTCTTGCCATACTTCAATTGAAGAAGTTGTGGAGGAGGATGAATATAGGCAACACCAAATTTTCAGACTTGCCCCCTATAGTCCGATGTTAAATCCCATTGAAAAGGTTTGGTCAGTCATTAAAGCTGACGTAAAAAGAAGTATGGCAGACTCAATTGTTGGGATTTTAAGAGGTGACGGCCAGGGATCTTTAACTACTAAAGAATTCCGCCTCAGCAAGTTAGAAGCGATGATCTCCGAGGCAATTAATAATATTTCCCCTGAGACTTGTACTAACTTCGTATCTGGAATACAGAGATTACTTCTCTCTGTAATTAACTTAGATGATGTAATTGTAATCTTTTAAATAAATTTCTTAGGAACGTTTATATTTTTTTATATCCCTTTTATGTAAAAATAAAAGAATAAATATTAAATTTATTAGTATTATATTAATTCTCAATTTGAAGTTGATTATTTCTCAATTTGAAGTTGATTATTTCTCATTTTGAAGTTGATTATTTTCCAATTTGAAGTTGATTGATCCATATTGAAGTTGATTGATCCATTTTGAAGTTGATTAATTTTTTTACATGAAAATAAGTCCATTTTGAAGTTGATTATTATCATTCTGAAGTTGAAAAGGTATAGTTCTGAAATGACTTGGTGCATAAAAGAAGAAATAATTGGTGAAAATTAAATTAAAGTGTGACCATTATAGTTTCGAGGTTAAAAAGTTGTAGTAGCACCAATCGTAGAAGATTGGGACTTACCTGGTTCTTTGGAAGAGGCCTCGGGTATATATCTTTTGAGCATAGCAAACCGTTCTTTCTTCTCCAGTTCTGTTTTTTTCAGTTTATCTTGTGTTGTCTCCCTTGGCGTTAATATCGATGCCACTGTACTCGTGAATATCCAATTATTGTTTAGCGTAAACGTTTCCGTACTCTGCATGGCTTTCATTCTCGATGTGATAAAGTTTTGGATTTGGGATTCGGTTCTAGCAGTATTCGTATTAATGTTGGTAGCTGTATCGTCAGTGTCTGTTGACACCGGCACTTTTGAGTTGGTTATGGACTCCAGACTACTTTCTGTCGTATTGATAATCATTTGGTTATCATGCGTTTTGCGAGGGAAAGTAACATCATATAAAGTGTCTCGTTTACTCGTTAAAGTTGTTGAGTCTATTCGGATGTTGTCAACTTTATTCGTTTTATTTGTCGATGCATCATAAATCACAAAAGGTGCGCTGGTCACGTGATAAATCATGTCACTCAATCTAGAATTATCACTTCTTTTGCGCCGCCTGTTTTTGAATCCGCAAGATTGATCACATCGCTCGTTCTTTTCGTTCTGCAGGCAAACGAAGGTGTCACAGTGGACGTAAAGCGAACCGAAATTATTAAAGAATGTAAACGTCTGGAATCGAAACCCCAGGGTAGTTTGGTTAATCGATAAGAGGCTTACTGTCTTATCGACAGGGCATCTTCAAAAGAAAAGACCAAAAATTAAAGCGTATTAAGTTAAGCCGCAAAATAATCATTATTTAGAATTTACTTCACAAGTTTATGAGGATATATCAAAAGTATTTTTACCTACCTTTACTCCAAGCAATATCTTTGGATCCACTAAATAATTTGTTTATAATAATAATAATAATAATAATAATAATAAGTAGTAATAGTAGTAGTAGTGTATGTTATGTTTCTTACTTTGTATCCTGTAGAGGCGGGTCCAAACTATGGCCCCTAGGTCTTATAGGAAAATTGCCATTTGATTGATAGTAGTCTTCTTAGTATATGGGATGTTTTTAGTAGGGCGATCTTCTGGGCAACTTGTACCTGGGACACTGTTAGTAAAATTGTCTATTCCTTTTTCTCACGATGGTCAAGGATCCGATTACTATTGGTACAATTTCAGTCTTCATTTTCCACATCCTGTTAATCTCGATCTCCTACTCCCTGTCTTTGAACAATTTCTCGATAATTTTCATGGAGGTATTTCTCTCAGATGGTACTGCCATGTCAATAAACATACACTTCCTGAATTTCTTGTCTTTTATGGTAATATCAGCTCGGTTGGCTTTTATTTCCCTGTCTGTTTGAAGTGGTATGTCCCAGAGGATAGTTACATCGTTTTTTTTGGGGGGGGGGGTAACTGTGTCTGGTTGGTGCTCATACCATCTCTCACTCAGTAGTTTCGATTTCATGTTTCCTTCATATCTTCCAGTGCACATATGTCGCTACGATTATGTTTGTGGGTATGTTAATTTTTTGCTAGTTCCGGAGATCCTGACATAATATGGTCGACAGTTTCATCGTACTTTCTGCAGATCCTCATTTCGGGTTAGTTTCATCCTTGATTACGTGACAGTGATAGAATCTGGTTGCGAGGTTGAGCTGCTATAATTAGGCCTTTTATCTCAGCTTTCAACCCGGTGTCCTCAGCCACTGATGGGTTTTCTGTTAGTCCACATCTGCTTTTTTCATTCTTTTTAGGTATTTGTCATGCAACGCCATGTCCGCCCAGTTTTTTTGTAATTTCATTCGGCCAAGTTGTTTTGCTTTCTGTTTTAATCGTTTGGCGTAGACGATATTCACTTCCTTTTTTGTTGGTAGGGTTTCAGGTTTATTAAGCTGTTTCCTGAAGAATGCAGCTTCTTTGTTGATGGAGTGGATTTAGTGTTTTACTATTTTTAGGAGAGGGTCATTGGTTTTTATGAGATATGCTTCCAATCCGATTGTTGCAGTTTTTAGAGCTAATTCAAGATGGATTAGACCTCGGCCTCCTAAAGCTCTTGGTACATACAGCCTATCAATATCTGATTTCGGGTGGTTCATCCTCATTTAGGCAAGCATTTTTCTGGTTTTGGCGTCCAATCTTTTAATGTCATTCAACTTCCATTTAATAATGTTGAATCCATATGTTACTACGGGTATAGCTAAGGTGTTCATAGCATTTATTTTATTGGCATCATTAAGGTCGCTTTCTAGTATCAAACGCACTCTCCTATAATATTCTTTTCGGATCTTTTTCTTCGTAATTGAATGTTGTATTCCGTCTCCTTCATTAATTCCTTTTGTATGTACCATCTTGGACTTGTTCCTTAATCTTGTCTAAATCTCTAGTTTTCGTTAGCTTATCGCCTTTGAAGGTGGCTTTATCACATTTATTATTATTATTATTAAAAATATTTTTGACCTGCGTATGTTTTATAATCACATGTCAGGTTTTAGAGGCACCTCGACCTAGTATAATGGTTAGCACTAGAACAATTACAACTGAGTACCGAGTACGATCCTCATTGAGTGCGCCATACTTCCGTCCTTGTGCCACATCTAAGCTACGCTTCGAAAATCACCATGTCGGATCATGAACAATGTAACTTCCCTGGTATGTATCATATTATTATTTCCTTTGATTTCTGCTGTATGCTCATTTCATTCCGGGACCTAAACAGGGACCTAAGGTCAGAAATGGTACCATGATATTTTCCCCTGAATACTTTTGTACTTGTGAGTACGATCTTTTGTATTCCTTTAAAGCATGGGCTTCCAGGGAAACCTTCAATGGGTCTATCGGAACCTTTTCCAATCAACCCGAAGGCTCCAACTACAACTGGAATTATTGATGTCCTCATATGCCATATTTTGTTTTAGATTTCCATTCCAAGATACTTGCATTTTGATGGTTTTTTTTGAAGATCTTCAAAGTTACATTACAGTCCACTGCCATGTTAATAATAATGTTTTTGCGGTTTTTGATCACGATGTCTAAGCGATTAGCTTTGATTGTTCTGTTTATATGTATTGTAAAGTTCCATAAAATTGCTACAGGTCCCATCTCTGTAACCGAGTCTGTGTAGTGTTCATACCAGTTCATTGCAGTTTCCTTCCTGTAAAAGTTGCAGATTTGCCAATGCAGATATTGGTCCACCCTACTAAGCCGAATTTTATATTCAGTAGGTGCTAATACTGTGCAACCTGATACAAGATGGTTATTTGTTTATGGATATTATCACAACATCTGCATTTTTGTTTAATACAATTTTTCAGCATGTGTGTCTGGTATTTTCTAGTTAAAAATCTTTGGTCTTGTGCCGCAAGAATAAAACCTTTGGTTTCAGCTTTTAACCTTGCACTACGTACAAGTACGGGGTTTGTCTACATCAGCTTGTTTGGTACAGGTAGAGTATTAACTACGATGAAGCTTAGTTCAGTGGAAAATGTCATGAAACCATTTATGACCCTAGGTCTCTGGTTGGGACCCAGGAGGAAATGATTGTACACAAGAAATCAAAGGAAATAATATAATAATAACTGCACCATCGAAAAGATTATTATTATTATTATTATTATTATTATCCTATTATATTGTACTTCCCCACCGTTCGTTAGTTCGCACGACCGTTATGCCCTGCCAATACCTCATAAATAATGGACTATTACATTTTAATCACGTGATTAGACAAAGACATATAAAAACAACGTTTTGTTTCATTGAGAAAATGAAAAAGAAAGATATGAGCTTAACGGCTGTTTCAGTGAAACGAGAAAAAGTTGTCAGTTTCAAATCTTACCATTTCCACCCACTTATTAAAATAACGACTAGCATTCATATTTATATGTGATTTGGGATATTTTGTTAAAGTTGTTTCGTTCAAATATTTAACGATGTGACAGAGGAATTTCTACGAATATACTATTGCCATAGAACTCGCCATGAGCTTATTTAATAATTAACTGAAGAATTAAGATTCACCTGAGAATGAAAATAGGAAATCTGTGAAATTTTCGTGGGTTAAAATTAGCCATTATTATTACAACTGACTGAAAGTGTATGACGCCAACAAAGTGACGCTGGGGTACAAATACACAAAGCCCACTATATGCATTATGGCACCCAGAATACACCCGGCACGATAGGGTGAAAAATTTTCATTATTATTATTATTGACCGAAAGGGCACCATGCCAACAAATGTGACGATGGTCTACAAATATACAAATTCTAATGTACCCATAAGGACACAGGGGTAAACAGGGGATGTGTATCAGAGATAAATGGATTCTATATAATGACAGGTTTTGGTAAAAGTAACGCATATCCTTGCAGGTTGGTCGCGTCTTACGCTTACAGAATTGTCAAACAGGGTTACATTTGAAATCCCAGTACTTTTAAATTAACTTTCTTTTTATTAATAACTCAACATATCCCAACTTTATCCTCCAAGTCGGTCTCTAAGACTCAAGTAGCGAAATTTTAAGATTTGGTAGAGCTGGACTTTCAAAAGAAATCCAATCTGCACTCTTGTCGCATACTTAATAATCTTTGTTTCAAACGTACGTGTGTCTGTGTACCCGTGTTGATTTGGAATGATGGTCTACGTGTCAGTCTTGCAAGCCATCGTTAGCGATGCTATTCATAATTACAGGATGCTGAATGAATATGTAGTTTTATCAAAGTTGGTGCATTGCAGCAAACATCTCATTATATTTGTGTTTATATGGGTAAATAATAAATATGTTCACTTATCTTGTCTCTAGACTGCTCAATCGTTCTTAGCAATATATAATCTTTGTTATTTTAAGACATTTTTATGTTTATACATTCTTTTTTGTAGATACAAATATTTAAGTAAATGCTCTATTTTATAATAAACAGTATTAACGACATTTACCGGCCCGAATGTCCGAGAAATTTTCATAGAAAATATGCGTCCTCCGACAGGATTCGAACCTGTATCCTATACGGAACCGTCATTTAGCTTGACGTGCCTTAACCGATTTGGCCACAGAGGAGCGTTTCGGTCAGCAAGGCCGATTTTACTGTGGCTAAATCGGTATAGCACGTCAGGCTATATGTCGGAGGACGCATATTTTCTATGAAAATTTCTCGGGCATTCAGGCCGGTAAATGTCGTTAATACTGTTTATTATAAACAGAGCATTTACTTAAATATTTGTATCTATAAAAAAAGAATTTATAAACATAAAAATGTCTTAAAATAATTGTCGGACTTTGTCCATTTCATAATCTTTGTTTCTATATACATATATATATATATATATATATATATATATATAATTTTCTCTTCCTGTCTAAAAATTATTTAAGAGGTCAAATTGTCTGGCCTCTTAACTGAGTACATTTTAACCTAAGTAAATTATTAAGGATGGTTAAAAAAAAAAAAAAAACAACTTATCCCTATTTACATTTCCAAGATGGACCTTTCCATAATCCTCCAACCACTTCTGTCAGCTTATGTTAATCTAAATCTATCCCTCAAAAATTGTATTAAAATATTCTTTTGTAACTAGAGATGTGACCTGATGAACCAGGAAAGATATATTTTCTGGGGAAAAAAAAATATAGTCATGGAAACTTAATGTTGTCTATTTCTTATCATTTAATATATATATATATATATATATATATATATATATATATATATATATATATATATATATAATCCTACTTGCTTTAAAAAATATTATATACTAGAATTACTTTGGTCCATTGTTTTTTTTTCCTTTCGAAATACAATCTTTCCTTTATTTTTATTAAATAGTAAAAGACAGCAAAAATACAGGCCCGTTATCAGAATCAAATTTAATCATGAGATTTATAGAGAGATTAATATTTTTGGAAGAGAAAGGATTATAAAAATGTGTTTTAAATTAAAAAGACTGTCTTGAAAGTAACACCAAACCGATGTACTGTCAATACTTTTTGATTGATTTCCTGTCAGAAACCTTCACGAAATCTGGCCCAGCTTTCAACGAGCGAATGCAGTTTCTGAACATCTATTGTATGTCTTTTTTAATTCCACAAGACCTTCACCAAATCAAATACTGCCGAGAATGCTCTTTGGTCAAGACCAAGAAGACAGTTTTGAACAGCTCTTTCATAATTGTTTTAAGATGGTTTCTCGGCAAGGTTTGGGGAATTTCATGGCCACTTACCAAATCCCTTTCTTTTTTCTTTGAGGAGATCAAATTTTTTTTCTAACCTCTGCGTGACACTGAACGTGAAACACGCGGGCCATTTCTTCACCGATTAATTAGCTATTAAATTTCACAGAAAGGTGCAAATAAGAACTTGAGGAAAATGAGTAAAACTGAAGAACAGCATGCATACCCCTTTGTAGAGCGAAACCAGTAGCTGGAAAAGATTTTTTTAATGTGAGGTTCACCCTGTAAAAGGCCCGGGGGGTTACTTGAGGTAGAGGGTTAGAGAGTAATAGGCACAGGTTTTGCATATAAGTGGGGAAGATAACAGTTAACCCTAGCCATGAACCTGTGGTGGTTCTCGGGTAGAAGCTGCTTGAGTGGAACTTACTTCTCACCAATGGAATACGGAGGGAATTAGGGTGGTTCGCTACAATGCGCGTAGACTGGCGGGTCCTAGCCCTGAAGATTAGAACTGGTGGGACCAAGGAATGTAGTTTATCTGAGCACTTTTCTTGGAAGTAGAGATAGAGCAGTAAGAGGATTGCGCCATTTCGTCCGTGAATAAGAGGTTGCAGGGCTGAAAATAATTTGTCACCCACAAGGACGCGGAGACGCTTTTGGACTCTATTGAGACTGAAAACTGAAGACTGGGCAGCTGCTTCCCAAATATGACAGCAGTACTCCATTTTAGACCTGATCTGGCTCTTGTAAAGGTAGTGGATAGCGAGAGGAGTCAGGAACTTATGAGACACTGTTTAGCTAAATATGTATAAATGTAAGGTTCTTTACCAGAAATTTGAATGAATAGATACATGACTTACTTGTTCGCGTAAAGCATATGCTTAGGCTTACTCAGTCTGTCTGTTGATGTTGTCACCCAACATGATGGGACGATGATCTTCAGATTATCTCCTTCTGTCTTCAAGAACACGGCTATATTCAACCAAGCTCCAAGAGTTAACAGGAGTGGAAACTTCGTAATTCTTCCACTAAATGTGCTTTGGCTATAGAATTCCATCGTGAAGATAAATGACCCGACACTCTTCTGCGTGACGGCAACAGTCTGTGGGATCCAAGGCCCATGACCCGCCTGACCATCGCGGAGGAAGTCGCAGATCAAAGTATGGCGGTAGGTATTTTGCTTAACAATATCTCCTTCGATTTTAGTGGGCACATGCCATAGGATTAATTGGTAGGTTATATGTGTGGTGTTTTGCTGAAAATTATATTAAAAAAACATAAGCCTGACTCTTAATTATAAGAAAATAAGAAAATAATAAACGTAGGCACACATACACAAACTAGTATTTTATAATTCTTTTTTCTCTCTTCTTACTTAGTGCGGCCGTTACGCAAAAGAAAGAAAAAGTAAAAGATGGGAAGATAGAATTGTTTAAAGTCTCCAGCCAATGTCTCATAAACAATGGACTATTTCGTTTTGATCGCGTGGAAAGATTGAAAAGACATCGGAGACGCTACTTTTTAGCGAGAGAAAAAAAAGAAGGAAAGATAGGTTTTTAACGTCTGTTTCAGTGAAATGGAAAAAAACCCACTTCTTAATTTAACGAACATTATTGTTATTACAATATTTTTCAAAAGCTGTTAAACTCAAATATTTAACTATGTGATGGGGGAATTTCTACGAATATTTTATTGTAGAACTCGCCATAAGCTTATTTAACCTATTATTATAATGTTAACTCACTTATTTCTAGTAAATAATATCAATCTTTTCTAAATATACTATTTGGCTTAAAGATCTGAGAAGATGCTCGTAGTGTTTCAACAATATGCATGCATATTCGCATTTAAAGCATTTAGGCTAATTTCAACGAAACATTGTGTATTTTTATATTATTTATATATTTTATTATATGATTATCATAAATTTGAATTAAAAACAAATTAAACATTTTTCTAGGTCAACTTCAAATTCCCGTCGAGAATATTTGCACTAATGCTCCTTGCAAAGGCATAAAACTATGTCTTCTTCCCCGCATTATAGATAAAATAGTAGAACAGACTGAGCCTTAGTAGAGTAACCATTCTAGAACAACGCTCAATTTATAACTGAAGAAAACAGTCAATTGTACTTCCTCAAAACATGACAATACGCAGTTTACAGAGATTAAAAACAGAAAAGGAATCTGTGGAGAGCCGTACTCTAAGAAAAAACATTTAAAACTTGAACTATAAAAACAAAATTGGTTTCCGTGAAGAAATTTGTTGAGTATACTATTTATTTATTGATCAAAATGCCATGTGTTCCGTAAACCATTAGGTCGTAGGGTCACAACACTTACTGCAGTAGTAGCAGCAATGACCAGTTTGGAATTCGGAATTTTCCTTATCCGTGACTGGTTGCATTTTGTTAGGAGAAATGAGTGAATGATAGCGGTGTGTCCTATTCTTAGGACGACTTCTTTTTAAGAAAGTATGAAACCGTGATGCCAAACTTGCTAAAAGATCGCTGCGGCCTTCTTCAGGTGATTGGAATTTCGAACTGAACTTTTTATTTCTTCAAACGGGATAGATTGTCGCAATTCCACGTACCATGCCTCATCTAGATGTTTCAGTATAAGTTATCTCCCTTTAACTCAACTCTCCACTTTCTTATGTCTCCAGTCTCAGTACCAGTGATCTCCCTTTAACTCAACTCTCCAAGTTTTTTGTTCACCTCAGCTGTAGTCAGGCATTGAACTTTGGGTCAAGTCACTGGATTCAACCAACGCTTTTATCGACTGACTCATGTGTCCTTGAGTATGAATTTTTGGGACTCATAAACATAATGTATCTTTTTTACCAGAGCTCATATTGTAATTTTCTTGTTGTTATAGTTTTTCTTTAGCACTCCGTATTGCTGATTTTCATATTGTATTAATTTCTATATTTGACTGGCTTAGGAGATTTGTGTAGCTTGGCATATGCACTGATTCTTTATGTTTTCTTATTTTTCAGTAATGTCCTCTGTCTAATATCTTAACCTCATCCCACAGGAGGCGGTGATCTCCATTTTCCCTCCATACGTGGCCAGCTACGCCTGATTTTTTTTATTTTCCCCTCGTGTTACGGCTTTACGGTGTTCACAATGGAGAGAGAAAACAACAACAAATTAGCATCCCTGGATGTACTATTATCTCGAACAGATATCCGGATACCGCCTACCAACATTCACTGGACAATAGCTCAACTTCAACTACAACCACCCATACAGTGTAAAGAAAGAAATTGTCCGCTGCTTACAACATTTGCGTATAAGGAAATATAAAGACCCAGACCGGAATTGGAACTCGACTCTCCCATTTCCAATTTCAAGCCGTTATACATTACACTACCCGCACAGCTAAACTTACAACACCTGGCATTCCCAAGGAGAACCAACCATAGTTAATTATTGGTGGACAAAACCTTAACAATATAAGATACACAGATGGTGCTGTAGGAACTCCTAGAAAAGGTAGTAAAGGAACGCAGAAAGAAAGGACTAACCATCAGTTGTAAGAAGACAGGGTATATGGTTGAAAACAAGAGATAAAACCTCAAAATGCAATCTTTGAAATCAAACAAGTACAATATCTGGGAATTGCTATAACATAACAGATGACAGAAAATGTAACACTGAAATCGGTGTTAGTAGTTCCACAGACTAAAAAGAATAATAGAAACAGAACCATTTTGGTAGAAGCAAAAAATTAGTACTGGACTGTTATGTAACACCAATCCCTCGAAATGGCAGTGAATACTGAACAACCACCATAGAGTTTTGTCTGCCATCAGATGTGCTTTCTTGGCCTCATGTTTTCAACTGGCTTGAAGTGGAGTGACTACATCGAATCAATAGCTGCATCTATTGCAAGGAAAGTCGGGTTTCCGTGTTGTGTCAGAAAATCTTTCTCGTCAGAGTCCATTTTGCACATTTAAAAATCTACCATTCGTCCGTGCATTGTATACTGTTGTCATATCTGGTCTGGTGCTCCTGCTATTCATCTCGAGGTTCTTGACAAAATCCAAGTCAGGATCTGCAATGTAATCAATCCTGACTTGGTATCTCGAATTCAGTCACTTTCTCACCGACATGACGTGGCTTCCCTTTGTCTTTTCTACAAATATTTTCATGGCCACTGCTCTGACGAACTTTTTTTTCCTGGTGCCCCGACTACATGAATTTAAGCGTGCAACTAGATTGGCATCTAGGTCCCACCTGTTTACTGTTAAAAGAGTTAAATTCAACCACCACTTCTATTCCAACAGTTTCTTTTTCCGCACTTCCCGCCTGCAGAATTCTCTTCCGTTTATTTGCTTCCCTGATAACTGCAATATTCAAAAATCTAAATGCAATGTCAATCGCCATCTTCTAGTTTCTTGAATCCTGTTCATCTTTTTATTCTTTCCTCAATCCTCCCTATACACAGTCTTTTCTCTCATTATTCACTCTCTGCAACCCGCTGCGTACTCGTGGCATTCCCACCTTGCTTGGGGTGAATTGATTAAATAAAATCCTCACTTATAAAGAGAAGACTTGGGGCAACAGAAATGTAGTTCTACAGACATATGTTACGAATACCATAGACAGAGCATGTAGCCAACGAGGAAGTTTATAAGGAAAATGAAAACAAAAGAAAATTATGCATACAATGAGAAAAGATACAGTTGAAATGTTTAGGACGCACAATGAGAAAAGAAGGCATGGAAAGTCTTACACTTACAAGACCTATTGTAGGAAAGAGGGACAGGAAAGCAGCGTGTAATCTAACAAGTCTGTGTAAATGGAATGCAGAACAGGGTGTGCAAGAGATATTAAACGGGCATTGTTAAGACCAACGAAAGATAGGAAGTTATGGAGAGCCATGATCGTCCAAGGGACGCGGCACATAAAGTATAATTGTATCAAATTGCGAACTTATTTATACGTATTCATCTATATAATCTTCACGTTTCGTCCTTACTAGGCTTCTTCAAATCAAAAACAAAAGAAATATGTGTTTGTTTGTTTGTTTGTTTGTGTGTGTGTGTGTGTGCATACTTAATATATTATTAATAATTTTCCCGCTAAGCTGGCGCTTCTCAAGATGCAAGAAAGATTAAAACTGTACGACTTTTATACAAAAAGAAAAAACGCCGTTACTTTTATTCTGTTATTTACAATTTTCATGTTTTAAGAAACAAAGATTAGCGGAAAAAACAATTGACGAGTTATTATTTAAGTATGCACACACATATTTCTTTCGTTTTTGATCTGATGAAGCCTAGTCAGTGCGAAACGAGTAATCTACTGTCAATGAAACAGTTTTCTATTTGTTATATTCTTCAAACTTTGTCTGGATTCTATATCCTATTATTGTTGGCACGAAAAACACAAGAGCATACCTAAAATATATGAATCTTTTACTTTCAGCCGATTCTGAAAAATTGGATAAGTATTTTTTTTAGCTTAAATTCATTTCAGAAAAGGTTATATAGATCTTTTGTTTTTCGAACTATTCTGGAAATGGGCTTTAGCTTAAATTCAATGCCGAAAAGCAAGGGAATGTATAAATAAATTTCGATATAAAATAGAAATTTGTAAAGATAAGAGCATAAAAATAACGACCTTTTTTTTTCTTTTTTTTATACAAAAGTCGCACAATTTTGTCCTGACAGAGGATAGCAAAAAAAAAAAAAAAAAAAAAAAAAACACATTTTATTTATAGTTACTTTTTTCAAACTTTTTTTTTAATAGATTACGTCACTCAAATAACTATAAACAATTTAAAATTTTGAAAATATTTTTGGTACATTTTGATTTGTGGGAAAAACAGCTGCGTTTGTTGGCTTTGTTTCTTTTTTTTTAAAAGACCAAATAATTCTGTTCTTTCTTTCATCACGAGAAATGCCAGCTTAGCGTAATAACGATTTGTTATTTAAGCATTTACACACACACACACACACACACACACACACACATTTCGTTCTTTCGTTTTTGATCTGATGAAGCCTAGAAGGACGAAACGCGTAATCTAGTTTCGATGAAATGGTTTTCTATTTGTCATATTCTTCAAAGTTTGTCAGAATTCTGTGCTTTATTTTAGACACATAATCATCATGTATATGCTTACCTGAACAGTCATTCCACATTCGGACAGAAGAACAGTGACGGATATGTAGGTATCGTTCTGTTTCCAAACTGGGCTGCAAGGTCCGGAATTATTTGTTCCAAACTGTATGTGTTTTGGTTCGAGACTAGGTTTCACTGAGCGATTGAAAACCGCCAACATGTGGTCATGTGAGCACACTAACGTTGTGAATGGGTCTAGTTTAAAAATCAAAACAAAAGATTTTTTTTTAAAATGGAAAAAGAAAGAAATCCGTCTTCATTCGAGTTCGAATTCCAATCTTTACCTAAGACATATATAACATATTCTTATACGATAATTTCTAAATTTTTATTCTATCTATCTATCTATCTATCTATCTATCTATCTATCTATCTATCTATCGTCTGATTAAATAAATTACAGACATTATGTCTGCTAATTTTTAACAAAATCCGTTCATACTCACGAATAACCTTTCGTGTATTGATGTTATGAAAAATGTGTTATATTAAATTTTTTTAATTGTCATTTCCCAAGTACTTTCGATCTTCTTCCAAGATCATCTTCAAGGGTGCAAATAATACGAACTATATGTTGTTCATTAGTATGTATTTATACAAAGTATTTATACAAAGTTGTGTGTTGTTATCCATTAACGTAATTTTTTTTGATTATGCTTTTAAATGCAAAAGAGTTGACAATGTGCTGTGCGTTCATTAGAACGTGAAAAAATTATCCATTATGGAATTTTTTTCATGTTATAATGTCATGCTTAGAAGAATTTTCTAACTCGGTTGGCCTGTTCTACTCCACCTGCCATATTCATCTGGCCTTGCACCAAACGAATTATTACGTTTTTCGATCACTACAAAATGATTTGGCGGCGAAAGCATTCTCTATTGAAAACCAGATTCAAGTGTTTGTTGAAAACCTTTTTTCATCAAAACCAACGGAATTTAACTCAAATTGTATCGAATAAATGGATTATTCATTTAGAGCTTCAGAAATGCAGTGGTACTAAATGCACATATATACGTCCAGCAGTTGGAATATGTCCTTAAAAGTTTAGTCGAAAAGTGACCTACGTTCATCAAAAGGAAAAAATGTTGTTCTCTTCCATGATAACACATCAAATGGCATCAATTAAGTGACAGCGAGTAATTGCAAATAATGTTCATTATATAATGGAATAATATGTAATTGTACTTTTTTAAAGATTAAATTTACCAAATGAAAACAGAAATTATTTATGATTCAACCTAATAGAAAATCAATATATCAGAATGATGGTGTGTAATTGAATGACAAAATGTTAAAAAATCTTATTCAATACATATTGTCCTTCAGAAGCGCATCAACAGGCTAAAATAATGTTCTCAAAGATGGAATTATATATTGCTGATACCCCCCGCTGAAGAGTGGACGAGGGTCGGGATGCTGAAGTTAACATCAATCAGCTAAGTGACAAAATTTTACGCACATGAATCATATATATATATATATATATATATATATATATATATATATATATATATATATAGGGAGAAGGCGAAAATATAAAGGAAAGCGTCGGGTATAATAATTATACATCCATTACATTCACTTGCGTACTAATACCCTTGGGAAAGGTATGAATCTTCTTCCTCCAGCTATGGGAAATAGCAGGACAGACCGGGAAATGAGCGAGGAAAGAAAGCCCAGGTCAATAAATGAGGAGAGAAAGACCAGGGCAATGAGCGAGTGGAGAAAGACCGTGGTATTTAGCGAGGAAAATAAGACCAGGTCAGAGAGCGAGGAAAGAAAGATCAGGTCAATGAGCGAGGATAAAAAGGCGAGGGCAACGTGAGAGTTAGGAGAGACCAGAGCAATGAGCGAGGAGAGAAAGGCTGTGGCAATGAGCGAGGAAAGAAAGACCAGGTCAGTGAGCGAGGAAAGAAAGACCAGGTCAGTGAGCGAGGAAAGAAAGACCAGGTCAGTGAGCGAGGAGAGAAAGGCTGTCGCAATGAGCGAGGAAAGAATTATCAGGTCAATGAGCGAGGATAAAAAGGCGAGGCCAACGTGAGAGTTAGGAGAGACCAGAGCAATGAGCGAGGAGAGAAAGGCTGTGGCAATGAGCGAGGAAAGAAAGACCAGGTCAGTGAGCGAGGAAAGAAAGACCAAGCCAGTGAGCGAGGAAAGAAAGACCAGGTCAGTGAGCGAAGAGAGAAAGGCTGTGGCAATGAGCGAGGAAAGAATTATCAGGTCAATGAGCGAGGATAAAAAGGCGAGGGCAACGTGAGAGTTAGGAGAGACCAGAGCAATGAGCGAGGAAAGAAAGACGAGGGCGATGATCGAGGAGAATAAGACCAGGTCAATGAGCAAGTTAGGAGAGACCAGGACAATGAGGGAGGAGAGAAAGACCATGACAATGAGTGAGTAAGGGAGAGAACATGGCAATGAGCGAGGAAAGAAAAACTAGAGCAGTAAGCGAGCAAGGAAAAAACATGGCAATAGGCACGGAGGGAAAGACGGATAGAATTCCAATCACCTTTCTTAGCAGCGTTATCTTGGTAGACGCAAGTAACGCTAGCTGCCTCCATAAGTTTACATTTATTCGAACCCCAGCTGAAGTTTGGACATTGTTTAATCTTTCCCTCTGTTCCATTGCAGTCAACTCTGCTCACCATGACGGGTGTTTTATTATCTTCGATTAGTTGTCTATTAGCGCCAGGGAGCGCATATATTTCGCTGAAATAGAATGGAACTGATCACAAAATCATTAACTTCAAATCATATTGACTCATAAGAGCAACATAAAAAATATATACATACAGGCTGAACATTTACTATATAGAAGTTGAAAAGTCAATTAGAAAATATACTTTTTTAAAAATTGGTTCTAAGAAAACAGAATCTCTAGGTGTATTAAAAAAAACGGATCTCCTCCATTATGACACCCACCAAGTTAAGTGTGCTGTAAATATTTTTCTTTGCCTGAAGCAACTGGCGTTTTATGATTGCTAGTAAAATCGATATGTGAGGCCTTCAAAGCAATCAGTCGCTGTCCATAAATAAGGGAAAAAGAAATAATGTAAATAAATCAAAAAAATGAAAACCTTCGGCGTCAGGTGTCACTCGGCTGGAAGGTAGCGTATTCTGATCGTAGGCTTATACAGTGGGCGATAAGTAAATTGCCTCCATTTTTAATTTCGCGTATGCTCATTGCTTGTTTTTGATTTTGTCGACTGCACAGTATAGTAGGGTCAGTTGGGCACCGTCTGTGAGAAAAAAAGCACCATAACGCAATTCACTCCCTCAGAAAATTTAGAAACGGCATGCTGTACTGTTTGGCATTCGCACTGGAAGCTCCAATACGAACATTTTAGAGTGTTTGGGTGACAGTGAAGAGGGTTCAGAAACAGTTGGATGAGTCTAATGGTGATTACGAAGGTAGGGCAGATTAGAAAACTGACTGATCGTTCTGATAACTCCTGAATTTGTTGGTGAGGGAACCAGGCTGAGTCCTACATCAAGTGCCTTGTGGAGGTAGTGCTGCCTTGGGTTAAGAGGTTGACTGCTGGAAGACCCTATGTGTGGCAATAGGACTCTGCACAATGTCACACAAGCAGGAGAACTCAGTCATGACAATTTCTATGACCACATCACCCCTTACATCTGGCCACCTACTCCCCAGACTGCAATCCCCATGATTATTATATGTGGTGCACAGTTGAGCGAGAGACCAACAAAACTCCTTGTATCGCAAAAGATGAACTGAAGGCAAAGAATATGGCAGCGTTCACCAGCATAAACAAGGAGACCGCCCAGAAGAGCTGCAGGAGATTCCAAAGTCATCTGAAGGCAGTCGTTGAAGCCAATGGTAATTTTATTGAATAAAATTAATCTTTAGTATTTCTAGATATTTTTGTGTATTTTTGCTAAATATATCTGTTAAAATGAGATATCAGTGTTATTTTCATTTGCGTATTTAAACGCCAATTTATCCATCGGCCACTGTATAATCTGGCTGCAGTCGTCTTTATGCGAGTCAGTTTCTACCCGTCATGGTGTAGAGATGAGTAGAGGAGCGGTAGGATTTCTCACTGACCGAAGAGATGATCTGGTCCGTTTGTCCGTCGTGAGTGAAGGCAGAACTAGCCACGGAGATCACTATCACTTACCTACCACGCCCAGAAAGTTCTAGGTGAACCCATGTTTATTTTATCATGGCTCTATACAATCTTCTGTTAATAAATTTTGTCTTTTTGCTATCTCTCCTAAACATTGTTATGCCATCCATTTACTCAAACTCACTATGCATTATTTTCTTCTAACCCTCTTGCATTCAATCTGTCCTGTGAGTATCAAATTTTCCAAGCTCTCTTTCCTCATTATGTGCCCTAAAAATTTTCGTTTTGATTTTAAGTATAAGGGTCCTTTCTAAAACTTTGTCGTTGCTCACATGTCTGTCTATGGTATTTTCCTGTAGAACAACATTTCTGTTGCTTCATATCTCTTCTGTGAGGAGATTGTCCAACATTTACTGCTATATAGGATGACTGATATTATATAACAATTCAGTACTCTTTTCTTTGTTTCTAATGAATTTTTCTCTTTCTTAATACTTTGCTTAGCTTTTGGAAGCCATCTTTCACTATCCCAATGTGCCTTTGGATTTCAGTATAACATTTACCGTCTTCTATCCGAACACTTCCCATATATTTAAATTTTTGTACTTGTTTGATTTTGGATCTCCAATCTGTAATTTACATGTTGGAATATTTCTTTTGGTAACAACCATGTATTCTATCTTCTTGCAGTTGATGTTTAATCATTTCTTCTCACTTTCACTACATTCTGTAGTTTTTGTAGTTCTCTTTCTATGTCTGCTATGAACACTGTGTCACCTGCATGTCTTATAGTTTTAAGTTTGTGGCTGCCAATAATTAATCCTGGTAAGATTTCTAATTATCTCAGAAAATGTCTATATAATTTGAATAAGTCCGGAGAGAAGACACATCCTTGCCTTACACCCCTTTTTATTTTTTTCATATCTACTGAATTCATTTTCTGTCAATATTCAGGCGGGTTGCTTCCAATATAGGTTCTGGATTACTTATATCCTTTCCAAATATATCAAGGTTACCTAGCAGTTCAAACAGCTCTTTGTGACTTACTTTATCAAACGCTTTGGCATTATCTATAAATTATTATTATTATTATTATTATTATTATTATTATTCCGAAATCATCTAAGGTTGTCAGCATCTCTATTACGATTCTGTCTGGTCCTGCTGCTTTGTTTCTGTTCAATTTGGCTAGTGTTGATTTCACTTCTGTTTTTTTATATTTCTGGTCCTTCGATATTTCTGTGTATTGCGGATTCCCTCTTTCGCCGTGGAAGTGTTCTCCGATGTATTCGTTCCATCTCTGAAGTATTTTTTCTTTCTTTAATTCCAGTCCCGTCCTTGGCTTTTATGTATCCTGTTGATAAGCATGTCTTTCGTCTCTTGTTTTTTTTTTTTTTTTAATGTATATCTACTTTATCTGTAATACTAATTCGTTCTAATTCTGCACATTTCTTTAGTCCACCTGCATTTCTTCCGGATTTCTTTGTGCAGAGTGCTATATCCTGGGCTATGTTTTGGCGTTGTTTTTTGGTCTCCTTTTCACAATGTTGAAAATTTCATCTGTCATCCATACCTTTTTTTTTTATCTCGTTTTCTTCGGGGTGATCTTAATGTTGTATAGCCATTTTGTAGGGGTTTTCTTGGGGCGACGGGGTCCATTCGATCATAAAGTTGCCTTCTTCTTTCTCGGCTGCTGATCGCTAGTTGTTTTTGTTAGGAGGTAAAAGAGAGAAATCAATTAAGGGAATTTTAATTTACTACTTTATTAAACACGTCGACGTGTACATTTTTAACTAACCAGTGGGGTTGCTATCTCACCCCCACTGGGGTGAAAGTTTCCAGAGACGAAAGTACCACGTCTACATTGTATAACATGTAAGACATAACTTACTGAAATCCTTTTCTATCATCTAACATTCCGACGCTAGTTTTCGCCAATCAAAACGACTTCCTTTGTTTTCCTGTATCTGACCTCAAAGGTCAAAATGAGGAAGTCAGAGGTGAAATACAATTTTCTAAAACGTAATAGTCTGCTAAACTATTATCTAAAATTCCTTACCTAATCATTAAAAAAACATTTATGAATTTTATTTCAACGATATTACTCTAAATTTCACTCTACACTTTCATGTCTGCAAAGACGTGCTTCTTACATATTTTCTTCATTGGTCCTCGGTCACATGACAATTCCGACATTCACATATACAATTCCTGAAAAGAATTAACATAAACAACAAAATTCTAACCAGTTTTTTTTCACGCTTCACAAACATTTTTTTTTAAACAAAAGCAGAATATCGGACAATCCTTTGTCCATTTTTATTCGCTAGCTTCCATAACCCAAGGTCAACGCCTAAAACGCCAGTCTAGATACAAGTCACTCCAAAAGTGAACTCTGACCTCTCCAATACAATTACCTAAAAAGTAATAGTCTGCTAAACTATAATCTAACATTAGTTACTGATGTTACTATACCTTCCTTAATGTGTCTCATTTCCAGCTTCAATTCAATATTACGGCATATCAACCCCAATGTGTTATTTAATGCCGACAAGATTTGGGAGACAGGTTCGTATGAATAGAATATTTATTCTTTGTAAGAAATCAGTTTGTAGATCAGGTTTCATTGAAGTATTTTTGAGGAGGGCTTTTGTCGAGAGCCAAATACATTGCTGGTAATTTTGTTTTCAAAAATGTATTGCCGGTATTTTTGCTATAAAAATCTATTTTTATACTGTCATAGTATTTTGATATTATAGTTGGGACGCTAACAGGTGCTACAACTCCGAATCTGGGTGGATCTGGTAAAAACAGCCTTTAGGAGCTACATGTATTAGGGACTTACTTGTAGCAAAGTTGACGACATACAGTTTTGGCATCTTGTAAATCCCAAAAGTCATCACAAATGGTTCCCCATGTTCCCTGATTGTTTACTTCCACAATGCCGATTCCTTTCACTTTCCCCTTCAAACGAATTTCGCTTGTGTTGTTTTGACCTGTGAAAAAAAAAAAAAAAAGAGAAATCGAATTAAATCAGAGATGGAAGTTGAAATGTATATTTTGCTTTCACAACATATTTACTTTGTAATTGAATGAAGATTTTAAATACAATTTTTTCGTTACTTTTTTTTGTCGTCAATTTTTTTTTAAATCGTTTTATTCACTAGTAGCTTTTGTGGTGGAGTAGAAATCCTGGTTACCAATGCGTGTTCTTGACAATTAAGAAGCGTTGTCACCAATGTGAAAATTCTGAGACTGCCAAATTGACTTTAAATAATATAAAAAGTGTAGAAGTCGTAGTTTAATACCATTAATTTGTTTCACTTTCCTCATTATGTGCCCTAGAAATTTTAACTGTCTCTTTCTGATATAAATATAAGTGTCCTTCTTGCTTCCATTTTCTCTAAAACTTCGTCGTTGCTTACATGTTCGGTCTATGGTATTCTCAACACACTTCTGTAGAAACACATTTCTGTTGCTTCAAGCCTCGTCTTCATCTGTGAGGAGATTGTGCAGCATTCACTGCCATATAGGACGGCTGATATTATGTGCCAGTTCAGTACTCTTTTCTTTGTTATGAACGATATTTTCATGTTTCTTAATGCTTTGCTTAGCTTTTGGAAGGCATATTTCATTATCCGTATGTGCCTTCGGATTTCAGTGTCGTACTTTCTGTCCTCTGTTAAAACACTTCCCAAGAATAACCCAATATGCAAATTGCAAACTGGAAATGGCAAATCAATCAATAATTTAAATATTTAACACTAGGATGGCCAGCTCTTTTGACATCTTTATTTACTTTATTTACATTACGCCGTGAAGCAGCCATCTCTGATATATTCAATATTCAAGTCAGGAATAACAAGCCTGAAAAGAAATTCACAAATATTAGTGTTATGGTCCGGTTCCTTGTACCACGGTGATAGTCCAAGGTAGAACCAATAAAGAAGAACTCGAATACGGATATGGAATAACACAGATATATTACAAACAGGAATATATATAGAGAGGTAGAAAAGTGTTAGTACGAACAATCAGGTTTAGTAGAAATTGTCTGAACGCGACTCTGTTTCGGACTGCCTCTGACTCGACTGACTGACTCGCTCTGACTGACTGACTGACTGACTGACTGACTGACTGACTTCTGACGGACTTCACTCCAGACTTCAGACTGAACTCTGACCTGTCTGCTTCGTCTTGAGGTTCAGTATTTATTACGTATGAAATATTCCATTATGTTATTATGGGTAAGGTCCCATAGAGTTTTTTAAGTAATGATAACAACGAATAATGGTTTTATAACGAACCTTTTACAAAAGACTTTTCCTTACAACGGACAACAGTCAAGAATTAGATTAATCAATGCGTCTATGCCAATAATGATTCTTATAATGGTTGAGCTTTTGATCATTGAGAAAATATTGGACCGAGTTAGTGACTAGCATCCTTAAGCTGAAAGATAAATAAAACGGAACGTAATAAGAATTATTGGGTTATTAATATTAATATTTTCTGTAAATTTGATGGACACGAAGTTCAGGTGGTAAGGAGGTTGTAGTTGCAATCAAAGAAACAATATCAAACTTGACAAACTGATAATGTCATTTTAGATTCAGTTAACAAAGAAAGAAAATTATATTTCGAAGTCACGTTTCTAATGGCTTAAAAGTGTAGCTACTTACGTTGGTGATGTTTGTAACATAGATAGATAGATAGATAGATAGATAATGAACGGATTAAAATAGATAGATAATGAACGGATTAAAATAGATAGATAACGAATTGATTAAAGGAGATAGATAATGAACAAACTGAATTCGATAGATAGATAGATAACGAACTGACTGAATTAGATAGATAGATAGATAACGAACTGACTGAATTAGATAGATAGATAGATAGATAGATAACGAACTGACTGAATTAGATAGAGAGATAGATAGATAGATAGTTAACGAACTGACTGAATTAGATAGATAGATAGATAGATAGATAGATAGATAGATAGATAACGAACTGACTGAATTAGATAGATAGATAGATAGATAGATAGATAGATAGATAGATAGATAGATAACGAACTGACTGAATTAGATAGATAGATAGATAGATAACGAACTGACTGAATTAGATAGATAGATAGATAGATAGATAGATAGATAGATAGATAGATAACGAACTGACTGAATTAGATAGATAGATAGATAGATAGATAACGAACTGACTGAATTAGATAGATAGATAGATAGATAGATAGATAGATAGATAACGAACTGACTGAATTAGATAGATAGATAGATAGATAGATAGAAAGAGAAAATCAGAGATGGGTGAAAAGAATGGGAAATAAAATAAGATGCAGCCTAAAGAAAAAAAAGGACGAATTGAGTGAAATTTACAAACAAAAAAGTAACACGCAATAATACACAAACAAGCGTGCAAACTGAAGAAAGACCATAAGATAATGAACGAAACAAAGCACGAAATGTTCCCAAATTATTCAGTATTTTGTATATTCACAATTTGAAGTCTGTGAAGGGATAACAGAAGTAGTCGTGGGATTGGCGCTGTTTATGCATCGAATAGCGACGTCCTCGCTGTGTGTGCAGTCATTTTGTCCATAGGGTCGGCTCAAGCATTCAAAAAGGCTTGACTCAATTCCTACACACACGATGTCATCCATCCATATTTTGCCCGTGCCTGGTGCGTAAGTGCCTTCTGGAAGAACTTCTCCAACTCTGAAAAAATATAACAAATATCAACTGAAATGTCTTTTTCTTGGTGTCTGTTTGTTGCTGGAAAATAAAAGAAAAATTACGATGAATGATGATGGTATAATTATCACACGGGCTCGGTACATGTCACTTCGCTAAAGGCAAGACGATAAAATTTCAAATTTAAACTGTCCATTTAATATACTGCAGGTCAGGTAGTGTTGCGTCTCTGTCTTCGGACAGAGTGCAATTCAGTTTTGTCCGCGAACAGAGACGCAGCTGGGAAAAAATACTGAGAGGTGCCCGGCTCCGGGGAAGAGGTTCCGGTTCCGGAGAAAAGGTACTCGGTTCCTGGGAAGAGGTGCTCGGTTCCGGGGAAGAGGGGCTCGATTCCGGGGAAGAGGTTCCGGTTCCGGAGAAAAGGTGCCCGGTTCCGGGGAAGAGGTGCTCGGTTCCGGGGAAGAGGTGCTCGGTTCCGGGGAAGAGATTCCGTTTCCGGAGAAAAGGTGCCCGGTTCCTGGGAAGAGGTGCTCGGTTCCGGGGAAGAGATGCTCGGTTCCTGGGAAGAGGTGCTTGGTTCCTTGGGAGAGGGGCTCGGTTCCGGGGAAGAGGTGCTCGGTTCCGGGGAAGAGGTGTCCAGTCCCGGGGAAAGCTACACAATAATGGGTGGGTCGGCAGTCATATCGATGACAGTGCAACTGACGGTTGAGGTGGGAACAATTTTTGGTCCTGGCCCGGGTGTATGTGCTCGGGTGCCCCACATTAAACCCGACCTTGTGTCACATCACGTCGCCGTAGAGAGACGAGTAAATGCATACTACATTTATTAGAAAATATATTCAATTTAAATAAAGAATAGTCACAAAAACAACTTCAAATGGCCGCACATTTCGGCTTATACTTTTCCCCGCGTTAACCAGGAGACAAAAATGAACTCATAATGCCTTTCTAAAGAGCCTTTTTGCAAAAACTGGACGCAACTGTCTAACTTTGAATTTGAACTCGGCTCGCTGATTCCACATATCCTGTCAGGTTGTTTCGAAAAAAGTGAATACTGACATCTTGTGGTTCAGTCAAAATACTACTGTTCATAATTCAGAGCAGCGTTTCTTAACCTTTTTATCCTTGTGCCACACTTGAAATAGTTTTTCTGTCTCAGGGAACCCCTGTATAAAAATTAATATATACCATTATTAATATCCACCTCTTTTATATTTTATCGTACTTCACGTGGTAAACATATTATATAATGATACATAAATCCGCTCCGTACAGGTCCTGTCCACTAACCAGTGAAGGCGGTTTCACACTGACGTCATACAGACATAGCTAAATACATTCCTTATGAATTTTTTTAATCAAGTTCACCCCAAGCAAGGCAGTAAAGTCACTAAGACACAAAGGACTTCTGGTGTTTAAGAATTAGAAAACAGAAACATTACTAAGGAGCGAGTACAGAAGAGTAATCAAGAGGACAGTAGATAGCGATTGACATTGCAGCTAAATTTTTGAATAATAAATTTGGCTGGAAATCATGGAACAGGAAGAGAGTTTCACAAGCGAGATTGCGAGAAAAGAAACTGTTAGCATAGAACTTCCGGTTACATCTAACCAATTCAATTGTATATCGGTGAGACTGTGGTCGGTATTCTAGTATTACACTTAAATTCAAAAAGTCTAGGTACTATAGCGAAGAGCTCATCCAAACAATTACCATGAAAGTATTTATAGAAAAGGCACAGGAAAGCAATTGTATGGCGATGGGAAAGTGACTGAAGCAGAGACGTCAGATCAGGACTAATAATATTGCTGATTCTTTGGATTTTATCAAGGGTCTCTAGATATAAAGCAGGAACACCGGGCCATATGTGGCAGCACTATTCCAAGCATGGACGAATGGTAGACTTATAGATATGTAAGATAGATTCTGGGGAGAAAAATTCTCTAGTACGACACAATGAACCAACTTACTTATCAGCTGATTTAGCAATAGATTCAACATAGTTTTTCTACTCTATGTCATCCGAAAATGTTAGCTCGAGAAGGCGCAACAAATAACTCTCCTGGAGATTAGCATCAGTCATGCTGTTTATTTTTGGAGTCGTCAAAATGTACAAGCCTTCCGTACTTACTATCGGGACAAGTGTAAATGGTTGTGTCATCAACGTAGATACCAAGTTGAGAGCTAATGCCATCGGGAAGGTCATTAATGAAAATTAAAAAACAAAGTAGAACCAAGGATAATCAAAGATAATAAAGTTATCTTGAATGGTCACTCTTCTAACCCATTTCTTTTTAGCCACGATTTGACAATAGACTGAATCAGTTCGAAAATTCGCTCGAAGACACCGTAGCTTTTCAATCATTATAATTTTAAATATTATAAGAGGTTGAAGCCTTTATTATAATAACTAAGGATTTTCCAGCAATATGCCATACGTGTATCGTAAAATGAATATAAAACTACTGTTTCTTGCGGAACCCTAAAGTTTCGTAGAACCCCGGTTGAGAAGCACTGCTCTAGATAAACAACAAGAGAAAAACAAGACAAACGAAAGAAGACAGTGAATGAATTCAATAAGGCTTTCTCTCTTTTAGATATTTCAATTTTAGATTTACCAGTTCGATACTAGTTTCACTGATGACAAGATAATCAAATTTCAAATCTAATTTTAAAATACTAATATTATTAGAAATTATATTGTTTAAAAAAAAAGAGGTCGTTAAGAATGAATTCAAAGGGATGCATATTTCGGCTTAAATCTCTTTTCCTATTACCCAGGGTTTGTTACCAGACAGGGAAATTATCCCTTATTATACAGATTTCCATTTCAATTTTATCAGTTGATTTATTTTCTCTGACTCTGAAGGTACACTCCATCTTTTTTAATCGACGATAAGATTGGTAAGTGTAACCCGAAAAATTTTTTATGTTATGCCAAATACGAGCTGAACGCCTGATGAAGGCCGACGAAATTACCGGTCAAAATAACTGTGGTAAGCGTAACCGAAATGTTAAAAAATAATGAGTTCAACAGTACGAACGACTCTTGGAATAATGCCACAAATGAACATCACAGAATATGTCAAGCATAAACGAGTTACGATATTAGTTTACTTGTAAAATCTGTGCTACCCAAAGAATATAAACCGGAGTGCATATAGACCCAGAGGGTTCATGTAATATTACTGGTGGCCCACACAAAAATATAGCATATTCGTGGTCCACAATAATATTTTAGTTGTCCATAGAGCAATTTCACTTCGAAACGGTTATTACAAGTGAGAATTACAATTTCTACAGTACTCTATGTCACATTACAATACTAAAAATATTAAAACAGCTCTAAAACTAGTAGAAAATGAAATTAAGTGATGTTAAGTTAGTGTCACTGTACTCTACCGGATGTTTTGATTGTAAAAGTTTAATTAAAACTGAGAAGAATATACAAAGGAAGGATTATATATATATATATATATATATATATATATATATATATATATATATATAATATATAAAGAACAGCAAGATATATAATCCGGTGTCCTTATAGATATTTTTATTTTTACAAAATAGTGATCAATGTAAATTTACAGAGCATTAAAATTCGCTTGAGGATGAAATGGAACTAATGTCTTTAATTTAATCACAAAAAATTAAATTTGTGGCTTTTAGCTTCCATTTTTGAAACATGGTTAGAACTGTGTAGCGAAAAAAACATTTTAAATCAATTATGTTATATAATATATATATATATATATATATATATATATATATATATATATATATATATATATAATTATTTATTTAAAAAATATGATTCCAACTCGCGACATAAGAGGTTTCATAGTCCTTCCTATTTTCTATATATTTTTCACATATACATATATATATTTATATTTGAAAAATATATAGAAAATAGGAAAAGAACTCGTTAGGTAAATAATCCAAAGTCCCTTAGTATTTTAGTTATTATTTTTTAAAAAAATAGTGCTCGATACAAAAGTAGAGCATAAATATAATTATTTATTTAAATATAATTATTTATTTAGCGTGTTGGAATCATATTTTTAAATAAATAATTATATATATATAAATAAAGGAAAATTATATAAATATTATAATTTATTATATAAATAAATCTAATATATTAGTGATAAATAATAATATTAATTTTAAATATTAATAAAATAAAAATATTGAATTAAATCAATTAATATAGTAATATAGTAATAGACTTAACATTGTGAAAAAGGTATGATCTTTGATTATCATTGACATCGATGGAGCTGAATATATAAAAAAAAAACAAACCCAAAGAGCAGCATCAACCACAGGGATCTCATTGAATAAATCTGCCCTGTTTTCTTAATTCATTATTTTCTCACATATTTTAAAATGGTTTATATTATGAGCTATTTTACTAGTTTACATAAATGTGCCATAGAATTTAGTTGTTGAATAAAAGTTTATTTTCATTAAATTAGTTTTACTGCAAAATAAAGCATATAAATTTTCTATAATCAGTCACTTATGTGCCATATGTAATACACTCATAGGCGATCATGTATCTTTCGATACATGACTGAAGAGGCAGATTTTTTTCCCTTTCTGCGGTAGACCAGTTGCCATCCAAGGCTATAGAACCCGATCTATTTAACCATAGCGGGGGGAGAAGAAGATTCATACCTTTCTTAAGGGTATTTAGCACCTAAGGGAATGTAATGGACACGATTGGAATTCGATCTCCGCTATCCATTACGCCACCGCGCCTTCGATGTCTATAATTCCTAAACTTATTTATTAGTAAAAAATGAAATGAGTTTTTTTTTTTCAATGAATGCTTATGGGTTTTCACCAAAAGAAATTAAGAATAAAAGTCGTCCACGGTTATAAAAAAACAAAAAACGTTGAGAACCATTAGTATAAACATTAGTAATGATCTTACCTTGTCTCTCGTTGAACCCGAAAAACGGTCCTTGCTTTATCTTTTCCAATTCACAAGCGTCCCGATTTATAATTACTTGAAGCATTTTTATAGTAGTGTGTGCAACTTACCCTATATCGAGCTGTCTACATACAACCGTGGCGATCAAATCGTTCCAATGATCATTGCAAACTGTTCCCCATTGATTCTGATAAAAGACTTCCACGCGACCCTCGTTTGTGTTGTTTCCATCAACAAGTCGAACTAAAAATATCAAACAACAGCGCAAATAAAAAACTGTTTCAAACCACACTTCCACCATCGACTGCAATCAATCTGGTAAGAAACCTAAACTAAATTGGATGCACGTATAGGTAGCGTAACAATTAAACACGCAAAATGGATTCAGCAAGCCTATTTCAATATCGAGTCTCTTGCGTTCAATATCACACAAATACACTTGGGAAAGGTATGATTCCCTAGCTATTCTTAACCTATTCTTAGCTATAGATTAAATAACAGAATAGACCGAGTTCTCTTGCTTTGGGGACATCCAGTCTAATAGAAAAACGACTCTGAATTAAAAAAAAAACAACAAAAAAAACAAAAAAAAAACACGGACAATGCGAAGGGAAGCTATTTTGTTTCCCCGCAAAATCATGCCACGTCACTGATAAGAAACGAATGGGGCAAGAATTGGCTGGTCAACTTTAACGCCTCAAAAACTAAACTACTCTATTAATCACCATCACCATCCTTCCCTGCCCCCCATTAGAATGTCTGATAGTCAACTTCTTGAGAGCAACTCTCTGCGTCTGCTCGGTCTCACGTTGACTGCTGACCTGAGATGGACCAAATACATTGAGTCAATTGCATCGTCCACCGCGAGGAAAGTTGGCTCTCTCTGCCGCGGCAGGAAATTTTTCTCCCCGGAATCGATACTTCAAATATACAAATCAACCATTCGCCCTTGCATGGAGTATTACTGCCATATATGGTCTGGTGCACCTTCTGTTTACCTCGGAGTTCTTGACAAGATCCAGAGGCGGATATGTAATATAATTGGCCCTGATCTGGCGTCTCGTCTGCAGTCACTCTCTCACAGACGCGCCGTCGCCTCTCTCTGTCTTTTTTACAAGTACTTTCATGGTAATTGCTCCGTTGAGCTGCTTTCACTGGTTCCCAGACTCCATGAATTCAAGCACCCTACGAGGCTGGCATCCCACTCTCACCCTTTCACTGTAGAAACTTTTAAATGTAGCCGTCTCTTCTACTCCAATAGCTTCATATCTCGCACCTCTCGCCTGTGGAACACCCTTCCCAATTACTGTTTCCCTGAGAGTTATAATCTCCAACTATTCAAATGTAATGTCAATCGACATCTCCAGTTACCTTGATCTATCCACTATCCTTCTCATCCTTTTTTCTATCAATCCTATCTGATCTTGCTCCAAATCTTCTGCAACCCCCTGCATCCTAGTGACTTCACGCTCTCTCTCGGGGCGTAATGCTTAAAAAAAAAAAATAAGTAGAGAGTAATGATGGCCTAAATCATGAAATTGCATTAAAAATTATAAAACATTTCGTGTATTTCTTTTTTTTAACTGTGTTGCTGAAAATGAATACCGTTGCCATCTAAAACCATTTTCAGATGTTTAACATCAAAAACCGATCAAAAACAAAATAAATAAAATTTAAAAAAAATGAAAATACATTAAAAAAAAACACAACAAAATATAACATAACATTTTTGTAAAGAATTAATGGATTATGTCTTTGTTGAAGCTTGGATAAGCATGGAATAATAATAATACAACACAAAATGTACGTAAACAAAATGTATTGAAACAAGGAAAAGGTACACAATATTTACAGTTAGTTTTGGTATATTCTTGGGAAGACTGTTCCTGTAGAATGGGTTGACTTAATCGCAGTCGGGCAGAGTCTCTGGATTGGATCTCTTGTTCCTCCCTTCTCTCGTCTTCCCGGTACCAACCATATTTATATGGTCGATACTCCACTATGTAAATTAGGTGGATCGTACCCCAACATTTTTAATCCGACATTTTTAGTGCATACCTCGTATTTGAAAAAGACGCCTCATTTGCACTTCCTTAGGAAAAGGAAAATAGAACCGTGCTTGCTTCATCGTCTTCTGTGACCGAGCGGTAAAGCACAACGGTAGCTTCCACCTAAAAAGGGGAATGTTCTATCCCTAACTATATGTCATTTTATGTTTCTTATGAATTATAAACGCTTTTGAGTTGACTCATGTTTGAGTTGACGCCCTGTTTTTCTTTTTGTTTTTATACAGTGCAAATTACGTTTACCGGCTTACCCATTCGAGAGTCTTAATAAAGAAAATGAACTTTATTAAGATTCTCGAATGCGCCGGTCAGTAGTCATAATTTGCATTGTTTAAAAAAAACTGGACTTCTACCCAAACATGTGTATCCACTAAAATAGCGTTTAGATTAATAAGAAGTAATGTTGGATAAAAAATCAATCAATAATGTTATAACAAATCAATATAATGATAGCTAAAATTAAGAAGATAAAGATAGGTGGTGTGCTTTGGTTTAGGGCATATCAACCTCAATGGGTTATTTAATGCCGACAAAATTTTTATTGCTGATAATATTTTTGCTTCAAAAATGTATTGCTAGAAATAATGTTTGCTTGGTTTGTTTTACGGCATATCACAACCTCAATGGGTCATTTCATGCCGACAAAATTGCTATTGTTGATAATATTTTTTTTTCAAAGATCTATTTCTGGTAACATTTTTCCTTCAAATATGTATCGCTGGTATTTTTTTTTTTTAAATGTATTGCTGGTAAGAATTTTTTGCAAAGTATTTCTGGTATTAAAACCTATTTTTACACTTTCATAGCGTTTTGACCCCAGTTTGTAGGAGTAACTATTTCGCCATAGCTGGGACCCTAACAGGTGCTACCACCCGGGGCTAGGGTGGAACTGGGAACACCAGCAATTAAGAGGCAGTTCCACGCTCCTCAAAATCTCCTGATCAGAGGCCTTGCTGTTGGACGTAGTTTATCGTCTTACTCAGGACGCTGAAATAGCTTATCGTCATGCCCAGGACGGGATAAAGATAGAATCCTCTTAATTGTTTATTACAAGGTTTTAAATGTTTCATTAGAGGATTATGTATTAAATAGTAGGGTAGACTGGGCTTTCTAGCCTCGGTCATCAGCCAATATCAGAGAAGGATTAATCTGAATTCAAAACGGCAGAACCGGCAACGGGAAACTAGACCACTATATTTCCCAAGAAGTCGTTACAGATAATGAAAAAAAATATGCGGAGAGCCATGATCGCCTACGTTTTGTAGGAACATGGCATTAAATATGTAATTAGACAACCAGAAAAGTGCATGCTTTATTTTTCTTTTTTTTTTTTTTACTTGCTGATTTACTTATTAAGTTTATAGTATGTCCATTTCCTGGTTGCATATCCTTTTCTGGTGTGGTGTAAATGCAGAGGTATAGTTTTTTCGCTTATATTGAACTTGCGCAGATATCTGACACTGTAAAACTACAACGCAGTCCTCACCCAACTTTTCAGCTCGCGTACATATGAAACTCCGCGTTGCATCTCTATTCACGTTTGTATCGGTGTGTGCCAAAAACTGAGAAAGGCCCGCTGCACGCTCACAAGGAAATGAACTTCACAGTGAAAAATGAAGACTCGAGCCCCGTTCCCGATATATTTAGACATTTATTTCAAGGATTCAACTCTACGGCTTCGTTCGGTAGGTAAGTGACACATGGGAACAACTTCTATCACTGCTGACATCTCAGCTTTTCCCTTAACCAGTAAGAACTCTGATTTTCACCTACCAACTCTGTTGGGAAAGTCTCTACCTGTTAACAAGCGGACAAGAACTCTGGTCAATCCCAACTGTTACATTTAATATAGACCTTGCATCGGAAGTTCTTTACGTCCGGTTTACTGTCACTTAACACCAAAAGTTTTCATTTATTTATTTACTATTCTATATCCTTTCGATCAAGTAGGTGGCTGCTTTGATAATCCCACCTCACAGACCTTATCATATCGCTGGTTATTAAATCTGAGATACTTCCGACACAGATAAAACCACGCACCACGCACCACCCGCTTCTATATGAATAACCCAATCACAGCACGTTTGAATGAGATGAGATTCAACACAAGTTCCCACTTGGTCATTATCAAAGCTAACCGGTCATTTTTTACAAAGAGAAGAATCAAGTGAGTCATTTCCAGTTGAAATCCTCCTAAATCACTTTCAAGCAGTAAGATCACTAATTTTCACCTTTCCTAAACTTACTATATATTCTACAAACTGCTTCTCTTGTTTTGGTTCTATGTTTAAACAGCTATAATAGACAAAAGGTCATAATCAATATTTTCAGCTATCATGTTAATTTTACTAGTTACTACTGTATATTCTAATAGTTATTTGTGAGCATATATAGCTGTGCAATTTGTATATAGTTGAAAATTGTTACGAGGGAAAGCGAATAAAAAAATACATTACGAACTTTTTTATTCATTCTATACATCAACTCTTGTTTACGATAGTTACTAAACTTAATGTTCTTTATTAGATCCTACCTCTCCCCAACGGTATTTCCTTTCTTATCAGCGGGTGGGTGGGGGGTTATGTTGCAAAACCCACCAGCGGATGCTTTAAACCGCGGATACATTTACTACGTCTTTTCCTATAGATGTGATGAAGTACTTTTATATCTACATTAGGTACAATAGAAGAAAAAAAATAATAGAATGCGAAGCAAATCAGTTCATATGAAATAAAATTAAATAAATAATAAAATATAAAATTACAAATAATGTAAATAATAAAATTAATAAATAAAGAGTGATAAAAATAATAAATAATTAAGAAAATAAATAACAAAATAAATAACAAATAATATATAATAAAAAATAAATACATAAATATTAAAAATATATAAATCAAATAATATTAATAAAATAATAAATCATAAAATAAAATAAAAACAATAAATAATAATTAATAAAATAAAAATATAAATGATATATTTAATTAAAAAATAAGGAAATAAAAACAATAATTAATAAATAATAAAACATAAAATTAAAATAAAATCTTCCATCTTACCATATTCTGCCAAAGATGAAGCTATCACGTGTAAGACGAGAATCAGTGAGATTTCAAGTGACGTCATAATCTGGCGTAATGTCTTATGAACTTGGTATTTTTAATAGTCTGCTACGAAAACAAAGAAAAATATATTTTCGTTAGTTTTTTAGTGAAATGAAATAAAAAAAAAACAGTCATTCTTAGAGATGATCATTCAGGCTTTTTTCTACAAATATGATCAACACTAAATCAAATAGATTTAAACCTATTTTGAAATCATATTTTTCTTTTTAAGCATTTCAACCCACTGCCACTAGTACTTAGTGGGGTTACAGAGAGTGAAAGTGAGAGAAAGAACTGAGTATAGGGAGGAATGAGGAAAGGATAAAAGATGAAGGGAGTTCAAGACAACAGAATATGGCGATTGACGTTGCATTTAATTTTTTGAAGACTGTAGTTACCAGGGAAGGAAGTAAGAGGAAGGGAGTTCCACTTTCAGGAAGTGCGAGGAAAGAAACTGTTGCTGTAGAATTAGCGGTTACATTTAACTATTTCTACAGTAAAAGGGTGGGACCTAGATGCCAATCTAGTAGCACGCTTCAATTAATGTAGTCGGGACACAAGGAAAAAAGGTCGTCAAAGAAAAAGCCTAGAAAATATTTGCAGAAAAGACAGAGGGAAGCCACATCACGTCTGTGAGAAAGTGACTAAACTTGAGATGACAAGTCAAGATCGATTACATTGCAGAGCCCCCTTTAGATTTTGTCAAGAACTTCGAGATGAACAGCAGGGGCACCAGACCAAATATGGCAATAGTATTCAATGCACGGACGAATGGTAGATTTGTAAATGTGTAAGATGGACTTTGACGAGAAAAAACTTTTGGCACGACACAGTGAACCGATTTTTCTTGCAGTAGATGCAGCTATTCGTGAAGCCAAGAAGGCGCAGAGAAACGCTCTCATAGAGTCGAGCATCAATGGCGGGCATGGAAATTTCTCAGTGGTGGTTAAATGCGAGCAGTTTAGTCTGGAGGCATATACAAATATACAAGCCATTTCCTGCCTTAGTTAGCCATTGATTGGAGGTCCTTTTCAAAATCATTGGCCAGGTTAACTTTGTCAGAGCTGACGGATTTACTATTGAGACAGGAGTAAATGGTAGTGTTATCTGTATAGATGCCTACTTCGGAGCTTATGACCTCAGTAAGACCATTGATGAAGACCAGAAACAGTATAGGATCCAAGATAAAAGCTTCAGGAACATCCGAGTTCCTATGAAAGAATCTGGAAGCAAGCCCGTTCAGAATGACCTTCATTTCACCATTTGGATTAAATCAAATAATCCTCCTGGAATACCATAGCCCTGAAGCTTACGTAGAAGACCAGCATGTAAAAACCCTGTCAAACGCCTTCGAGATATCTAAAGCTGCAGTTCGAACTTCGCCGTCATTATCAAGAGCTTGATATACATATTCAGTTATAGCCGTAAGCACATTAACGGTTGGCCGTGCAAAACGGAATCGATATTGTTTGCCAGAGAGTAGGGCGATAGATAGATGGGCCAGAAGGTTCTCCAGAATTCTTAAAGAGAGGGACTAAGTATAGACGAAGATTTCCAACAAATTGGAAAGCAGGAAACTGAGGCAATAGTTGTATAGTTTGGAGAGAACTAGAGCCAGCTCGGGAGCACATTTCTTTAGGACGACGGCTGGTATCCCGTCAATTCCACTTGCCTTATGGGAGTTTAAATTAGAAATGAGACCAGTGACGGGCTCATGCACGTATCATTCAGTAGAGTCTCTAGGGAGAAATCAGGTGTGGATACTACAGATGAGTCGGTTGTTGAGTTAGATGAGAATTTCCGAGCAAAGCATTCAGCCTTATCTGCTGTAGATGTTAGGACTTCGAATTGATTGAATAGAGGTATTGAGGATTTGCTGTTGTTCAGTAAACTTTTGCAATAATCTCTAGAACCGAACTTACGAGATGCTATACGTTTCTTCATTCTATCAGCAAGCAGTAACTTTTCTTCATTGAGGATACGCTTACACTCGTTACGATCAGAGACAGAAAGACGTCTGTTGTCCTCAGACGTGTCGCTCTGGTACAGCCCAAAGAACTGATTCCTGTGGGCTATAGCGGCCGAGCAAGCAGGTGAGAACCAAGGAAATGAACGTGATTTAACTTGGTATTTCCTACTGGAATGAAAGCATCGATGCCGGCTTTCACCCAGGGGGAGACCACATACGGGCACTTTTGAACGGGATGATTAAAAACTACATTCAAACAATTGTCACGAAGGAAATCACGGAACAAAACCTAATCTGCTCTTTGATAACAGAAAGATATGCTGTTGGTAGGAGGTTCATGGCAGGTGGGGATCCGGAAGGATATGTTTACAGACACTACCGCGTGATCAGAGTTGCCAAGAGGGGAGAGCCGTGTAGTATGATATGAGTCAGAGATATAGGTAAAAAGAGATCGAGAAGAGGAGCGTTTCCATTAGGGTTACTGTGGAAACGCATGGGAAAGTCAGCCACTCGAGTGACTGAGAAGATAAAGATTTGGTTGCCAGCGAGGTCAGTGACAGAATGTTTGAGCCACCTGGTATGGTAAGGCATTAAAGTCACCGAATACGAATATGGTTGCAAATAGATATAGGGGGATGGCCTTGTCTATATTATTTGAAATACTACCTAGCACGCAACAGTCTTGAGAGGAAGGGGAACAGTAGAGAAAGAAGAGATCGCTGACTGAGTTAGGTAGAGAGAGACGGAGACACATGTATGAATGGTCTGGAAATTTAAGAGAGTGTTCCCTAACCAGCGGGAGATGTTCGCGGACATAAACTCTCCGGCCATGCATGTGGACTTTAGAGTCCTTTCTAAGTAGAGGAAGGTAGCCAGTATTGGAGAAATCAGGAGGGAATTGAAGAGTTTAAGGTTAGAGAGCTAAGATATCCGAAGACTTTTCGAAGAGGAACGATTTCACATTGCAGTAGTTGGTCCGAATACCATGAATGTTGGAAAAGGTAAGGTTAAAGGGTTTAGTTGATTTTTGTTGATCTGGTTTCGGATTATATCTTTGGTTGTTTTATAGTCATGATGTGTTATATTGGTAAGGAAAACGCCAAGAGTAGTAGTAGCAGTCGGTCATCAAATGTAACACGTGCTAAAGGGAACTGCCGCAGACTGCAACATGGTGTAGCCTCGGGGTTGACCACCGGAAATGGTTACAGGGACAACCATCCATGCGCAACATGACACTGCAAGAACCCCGATATTATGCAACTGTTGATCAGAGCAGCCTCTCAAGATGTTACGCAAGAGTTCGGGCTCCTAACAACCAGTCGGGAACAGCAACCAGAAATCTGCTAACCCGGTACCCTCGTTATTAAGAGACGTTGTCACCAACCACGCACATCACAAGAAATTCATTGCAGCACCATTATTAAGGTCTGAGAAAAGAAAAGGAACAGGGAACTCCTTCCTAAACAGGAATCAAGGGATGGGTCTCTATCTCTGTTCAAGAGAAATGGGGGAGTATGGATCGGGCGATAGGAAAGCCTATCTACTTCTATTAAATAAAAGAAACATATCTGGGTTTGACTTTCAGATAAATTATTATAAAGAACGAAATTCATTTAGAAAACTTCTCTAGAGAGTCGAGCTGAGACTCACAGATGGCCAACACAAATATGCACACAAACCTGTACGCAGGTGGGAATAAATAAAATTAAGTTTTAACTTAGTACGAGTCCGAATACCAACTCTTTCGAAATACGTAAACATATCAACGACCAGTTGTTAGAAAACGAAACATCAATTTTAAATGCTAGGAAGCGGATCAAAATTAACATTGCGTTAATACGATTAGTGCAAACAAATAAAACTTTATACCAAAAAAAAAAAACAAAAAAAAAACGAAGACGCTACAGAGGATCGAGGAAAAAGTAAAATAAAATCTAAAGATAAAAGATTCGGGGTTTATTTCGACTACGATGGCAGTTTCATTTTCCATTGTCTTTACAGTTTTGTAAATGTTACAGTGACTCTCAAGTATTTTTCAATTCACCCCCAAATTCATCAATTCACCCCAAACAAAGCGATAATGCCACTAAGACGCAAGGAGCTACTGGGTGTGAAAGAGAATGAAAAGATTTTTAGAAGGAAACGGAAACCCAGCCCTAAACAAGGAAGAGTGGATAAACCTCTACTCCTGTTCAAAAGACCAAGGAGGCGTGTGAACCGGACGATAGGCGAATCTATCTACCCCTTGTTAGGAGTTTTATGCATAAAAAATAAAGGAAGACATGCTTATCAATAGGCCGCGTAAATTCAAGGATGGAACGCTCATATTAGAGAAAGAAAAAATTCTTCAGCACTGAAACGAATATGTTAGAAAACTCTTCCATGACGAAAGAGAACAGCCGGTAATACACAGAAATATCGACGAGCCGGAAATACAAAAAGCCGAAATGAAAGCTGCACTAGCCAAATCGGACAGAAATAAGGCGGTAGGGCCACGCGGAATTGCAATAGACATAACTGGCAACCTTAGATGATTTCGGCATAGATAAGATTACAGAAATAATAAATGAAATCTACAATAGTGGTGATATACCGGAAGATCTAAGCAGATCTGTTTTCATAGCACTGCCTAAGAAACCAGTGCAAACTAAATAAGTTATTATTTTTTTCGGCAAGCATGTCATCCCCCATTGAAAATTGGCGCAACATACTCTTTCTATTTCCTTTATTTGGCCTTAGATCATACTAAGGTAGCGTAGTTTTTCTTTTTTACTAATAGTTCACGTAATACAAGGCACAAAGGCCACTTATGATAAGGGTTTCTGAGTGATATTGTAAGGGAGTGGAAAGGGGGAAGCGAGAGAGTATTAGGAAAATGAATATATAGATATCAGTTGACCCTGTACTTTAAAAGACCAAGATTGTGGTTGCCAGGGAAGCATTCTCTTTGGAGTTTGTTCCACAAAGTAACAGTTCTGGGGAATAAGCTGTCTTGAGTGGAACTTGCTTTTTTATCAAAAGAACATGAAAAGACTGGAAACGGTGAATACGGC